CAGCAACAGCAACAGCAACAGCAGCAGCAGCAGCAGCAGCAACAGCAACAGCAACAGCAGCAGCACCAGCACCAGCACCAGCACCAGCACCAGCACCAGCACCAGCACCACCACCAGCATGATATGCTATTATCACGACGACAACGACTGACGACTACGACTACGGGATTGCGACTACCTACGAAGATGCCGAAAACTGTTACTACCCCTCCTGCTGCAGCTGCCGCTGCGACTTGCCGCCTCACCCTGCCACGACGACGACGGCAACGACGACAACAACAACTACTACTACTAGTACTAGCACCAGTAGCAGTACCAGTTCTACCATCCCCACCACGATGACGACTACTACGTACTACGACCACCGCCTCCACCACCACGACCAAAGCTGCTGCTCCTGTAGTTCCTGCTTTTCGAGCATCCAATGCCGGTCAAATGCCGGGATCTGAAGTCCAAGGCAGCCGGACATGATGCTGAGCCTTGTAGCGGAGTTGACAGCCCCGGGCGGCAGCAAGAGTCCTGGCAGAAAGATCCTTGTGGCTTCAGGGTTTTGAGCCTGAGGGCCTGGCCGGTTTGGAAAAACACACATGCGTGTTCCCGTGCCCTAGCTCGCAGATGCTGCTGCGCGGGCAGATGTTCACTTAACCACTGGTGGGGTGGCTGCATCTTACCAACTAAACTTAACCCTTCTCACAAATCCCTTGCTAAGGTTGTATTCAACACCCCGGAAGGTGCGACTAGGTTTTGCCCATTAGACTCATTAGACACCCTGAGTAGAACATGTCATGTGCGGGATTCCCCTTAAAGGCATGAAGCACTTTGGCACGAAGGGACAGCTCACAGCCGCCGAAGCTGGGACGTTGCGAGACCAAGGAATGCCAAGGGTGGCACTTTCCGCAGCAAGGGCCGCGGGAAGGGCATGGTCCTCATGGCAGGCAAGGGGCCAGGCAAGGCCCGTGGCGATCCAACAGGTAAGGAGGGAATCCAGGAGAACCCTTTACGCAACACGCAAACCCTGAATCGGACATGAAGGCCTTTCACCCCGAATGCTTGAGACCTCGCCTCGATTGTCCGAGTTGTGAGAGTGTGAATGGACCTTGTGTGAGAAGTAAGCTGCCAAGACTTCTCCCTTGGAAAAAATAAATTTGCTGGCCCTTCTCGTCGGTGCTTTGTGAATGAGTAGGCCACATCAGATCCATGATGTCCTGAGTGCCGATGAGAGACGGAGGAAATATGTTGATGAGCTGACAGGCATGCGTCCATGACACCGAATCCTCAAATGACTTGGTATGGATGTCTGCAGCCATCTTGGCAGTCACCTCATACGCCAACCAGACGGCGCTGTCGTTTAAAAGGTTTTGCTGTCCTCGAAACTCGTTTGCTGCATGCTTGCGAGGAATTTCACCCGTGAGGCAACAGCAGCGGCAATGTCCTTCTCGTATGGAAGTGCATTAAGTCCCGATTCAACATGCTTCTCTCTCCTTCTCTCTCTCCCTCTTGTGTGTGTAGCTGTTGTTGCTCGCATGGAATTTGATTACGTCCGGATTCGACGAGCTTTCCTTCAGTGTGAATGTTGGTGTGGGTGTGTTAGCCGCGCAAGCAGTGGCCATTGCTGCTGGTAGCACGACACTAGACTCCACTGTTTCTCAGAAGTCGTCATCGTCATGGCTGCTCTCCAGCGGTAGCACTAGCATGAAGATGATGGTGATGGTGATGATGAGGACGTTGACTATGATGAAGTGTTGAGCCTTGTTATCGCTATGACTGTTGTTTTAATGGTTTATCATCATTCTTCTCATTTAAGATTCTGATCGGCTGTGTTGTCATTATTGTTGTTCTTGTCAATAAATGCACTGTCATTGTTGAATTTGCCCCTCTGATTCCATGCGAGGCAAAGGCTCCCAAGCTGATCTGGGACTCCCTGGCCGCGAGCAAGTGCAGCGACTGGCGAACGAGCTGATGAACGTCACCTCCACGCGCAACGCTATGACGACGAACAAGAAGATCGCGATGCTCATGAAGCCGCTCTTCGTGGTTATGAGGATGTAAAGGAGGTCCAGGGGTGTTCCGCGGAAATGGGAGGTCGAGATTATTCCCAGATGCAGAACTTTGTCAGAAGATCGAACCCGTGCTCTTCTTGCAGCCGCATGCGAGCTGAGGATCTGGGATACGCTTCCGGGCACCCACAAAGTAGCACGGATGGCGCAGATGTGTCTCGGACTGGGTAGTGCGTAGCAGCTGTCCATGTTCAGCCCAGCGTCGAGTACCTATGTCAAGAAAGCCTCTGCTTACAGTGAGGGTAGAATCATACCGGTGCCCTTCCAGCAAAGGGGTATTTCGTCGTGAATGTGGGCGGACGATGCTTGCCGGAAGTTGCTTTGTTTTTGTTCCAAGGTTCGGGGAGCTTCTGCCCAGCTTTGCCTCCGATGAGCACCGGCAAGGAGAGATCTCCAACCTGATTGCGGCCTTCTGGAAGATGCTTCAGGACGTGGGTGCCGACCTCAGCGCTATTAGAGTCTCGTATCTTAGGGATACCTTGGGCTCCAAAGACGGCTGTCCCCCTTTCTCCGCGCAGGGTTGTCCTCATGCCTCACGACGCTGGACCATGCTCCTTTTGTCGAGTCGTTCCGTTCGTGGGTTCATGCGCATCCAACCTTGAGCCAGAGGGCACGCATAGCAAGAACTGAACCAGATGAATCAGAGCAGCCACTGCTAATACTGGCTATAGAAGTACGTCCTATCAGCAAACACAGTGAGCGAATCAATCGCCAATCGTTGCGTTAGCAATGAATTTAAGATTGATTGAGGCCGATCGGACCGCCAAGATCTTCTGGTGGGACCACTTGTGGCCTCCGGGCCACAAGGAGAAAAACGACCTACTGGCATCACAGAGTTCTTTAAGCTCTTCGTGAGGCCAGGCTTGCTGTCGGGACTGGTGTTGTTGTTGGTGGTGGTGGTGGTGGTCTTGGTGGTGGTCGTCGGGGTCGTCGTTTTCGTCGTGGTGGTCGCGGTGGTGGTGGCAGTCGTGGTCGGGTGGTGGGTGGCGGGGGTGGTGGGGGTAGTGGTGGTGGTGGTGGTGCTCGTGGTGGTGCTCGTGGTGGTGGTGCTCGTGGTCGTGGTCGTGGTCGTGGTCGTGGTCGTGGTCGTGGTCGTGGTGGTGGTGGCGGTGGTGGTGGTGGGAAGTTATGGATGTATGTATGTATGTATGTATGTATGTATGTATGTATGTATGGTTGTATGTATGTATGTATGTATGTATGTATGTATGTATGTAAAAGTATGTATGTGTAGATCGATAGACAGATAGACAGATGAATAGATACATAGAAAGATAGAATGGTAGAAAGGTTGAATACCCAAAAGTGGAGAGCAGAGCCGCCCGTGCACACCTACGCAAGCCTTGTCTGCTCGCTCCAGGCGTTTGCCGCCGCCTCTTGCAGTGACGCAGCTTTTCAAGATCCTGGAGGAGTTCGAGGCTTGCACATGGGAGTTTCCGAATATGAGGGGTACCTTATTTTGGGGGTCCTTATAATAAGGATCCTACTATTTAGGGTACTAGATTAGGGTCCCCTGTTTTCGGAAACTCCCACATGTCTCTGAAGTGAGCCACCTGTTCCCTATAATCAAGTTCCCTACGGTCCCTTCGCCTCAAACAGAAGATCCTTCACCTCGTCCTCGTCTGGCGAGTCTCAGATGTGAGAGCTGATGCAACTGCAGATGAGCTCAGCCTGTGGGCTGGGCGCAGTAGGATGGTTCGCAAGTTGGTGGTGGCTTCCACAATGCCAGCCTGCGGGATTTGATGGAGACAGTTGTGGCTTCTTCGGAGGATGAGCTCTGCTGTGTTTTTTCGATTCCTGAGGCTTAACTGAAGGCTTTAAGCTGAGTGCGAATCCCGCTTCTTGAGATAATCAGGTTTGCCCAGCCCAGCTTCCCATAAGCAGCGCATGTGCGCCTGATGCTACCAGAATCGTGTTGGACAGCAGAGATCGCGAACACGGCTTGTCTTGCTTGCCATTCTAAGATCCCAACAGCACGGCAGGCTTCGGCCGTAGGCATGCTCGGAGCAGGCTGGCACGCCGGCCTACAAGTTCGTGCAGAGTGACATCTGCAAGTCCAGCAATGGCAGACATGCGGCTCGGCGAGAGCAACCGAGACAGAGAGATAGCGAGAGGCGCACAGCTCGAACCGCGAACGCGGGCAGCACTTCCGGCTTGTCGCAAATCAGTCTCAGGATGACCTCATGAAGAGTGTCTTCAAGAAATACCTGCTGAAGGAAGACGAGGCCGCAAGAAGTTCGGGAAGGCGTGGAAATCCCAAAGCAATCCTGGCACCGTTCCCTGCCAGGGCCCAGTGAAGGCCGCGGAGATGTTCCAGGTCCTGCTGAAAGATGCCCGATCCCGAGACATCATCCAGACCTCCTACGACACTCTCCTGGAGCACCTGGAAGGCGCCTTCTTGAAACTTGGGGGACTGGGTTTAGGGTTTAGGGTTTAGGGTGGGCTGCATGGGACCACCAGGCCTCTCAGGGGCCTGAGGCCAACGTCTACCTGAATCCAAAGGCGAGATGCCCCCAGCACCTCCACAACCCTTCGACACGGAGAGCTTCCAGCGCAATTAACCTGATCGGGAAACGGGAAATCCTTTGTGGTTTGGGAGGATGCCCGACATGATCTTGGGAAAGTGGCTTAATTGAGGTCTCTTGGAAGGTAGCATCGCCTGGTTGACATTCGAAGACCTCTTGGTCACCATAAGGAGAGATGGAACCAAACGCGAACGTGCGGTAGCAGGCTAAGTTGTAACATGTTTTTCGTAGACTCTTTGACCTAGCTTTTCCCACCAGCCCCACCTAGCCCGCCTACCCCCACTACCCCATCTGCCTCAGCTACCCCCAACCAACCACGCCGTCAGCTTTGCGTAAGAGGAGGAAACGAACTCATTCACACAACCATGCGCACGTGCCTGGAGGCTAGACCAGAAGACTCTCTTGCTTTGAGGTGACTGTTATCGTTATCCAGTAGTAATTTCTACCGAAGACAAAAACCCGAAGGAGTGAATCCTTTTCCCGAAGACGAAAACCCTAACGAGCGAATCCAGCAGGAACCTTTGGAAAAGACGAAAACCCTGAGGAGTGAATCCAGCAGGAACCTTTCACGAAGACGAAAAACCTTAAGGAGTGTACCCAGCGAGAACCTTTTGCCCAACACGAAACCCTATGGAGGGAATCCAGGAGAACCCTTTACCCAAGACGAAGACCCTAAATGAACCTGTTGTGTGGATCCTTGCCTGCCGTGTGCGAGAGTGAGAGTCGAAATGAACCTGCGCCGGTTGTGGGCCAATGTGCTTTTCGCTACATGCGAGGAACCTCGCCCAGGCATGTCCGAGTGTGAGTTCAGAAATGAACCTTGTGTGACGGTGCTGGTTCGGCGCGAAATACAGCACACATAATGTGGTTTGGCCTAACGACACCCAATAAATTATAACTAAGATGCCTGTTTTGCAACCTAAGCAGAGATTTGCTGAGTCGAGTAAAGTGGCAACTCAGTCATTTTGCTGAAAATCTGGAAGGTTACATCTACAGTAAGAAAAAAGTCGCAACTAAGCGTTCTACCCGAACATGCTCTGCGAACATGGTGGCACCACATCACGGAAATTTAGTGTCCGACGTTCAATTGCTGTCGGAGCATGAGAAGTAATTTAAGAACTGTGGTGATGATGGTGATGACCGTCAGGATGGTGATGATGACGATGGTGATGCTACTGATGATGATGATGATGGTGATGATGTCAGAAGCAGGGGACAAGGGGAATCCAATCTGGACCCCAAGCAGTATGCAGATGTGAACCCCGCAAGTCGAGAAAAGATAGAACATCACGTATTGCCATGACCAGAACTATTAACAGTACTATTGTTACTAGCACAGAAGAAAGTAAGTGTGAAGAGCTTTCCGGTTTCGATTCTGCTCAGACCAATCGGAGCTGGGCTTGTTGCAGAGCGTGGTCCAGCGGATGGGCTTCTCGGACTACGGGGGTGTTTGGTTGCCTTTGGGCTGGGGGGGGGGAAGGGTTCAGGTCTTCCACTCTAGGGCTCTAGGATTCAGAGTTGGGGGTTTAGTGATTCAGCCTCCGCGTGATCAGGTCGTCAGGCGATTGCACAAGTTCTGGTCAACTAATGATTCAGGCTTCTGCGGTGATCGCCGCCCTTGAGCCTGTGGCAGATTCCACCAGTATAGAATCGCGTCCACTATACACCAACTCGTGCAAGCTTCCAACCCTGAGAGTCAAGACCCCACTGAAGCCACAAACGAGTGCGAAGCGCAGATTGCGCAGCGTCCTTAGAGTTGACACTGCTCCCTCAACTCAATTTACCTACGACGAGCCATGAGGCTAGGAAAGCTCCGAAAAGTCGAGATGTGTGAAATGTTGTTTCCAAGGTTTCAAGAGGTGGGGAGCCCTCGCCTGCCCTGTCCGAGCTGGGACAGCTTCATTACAAAACCTCGAGCGCTTAACACCGAAGCTGCGAGACTCTCATTACACCAACATGTCGTGTAGCAACTACTATTTGCCGTGGTTTGAACTAGATAGTATAATTACTACAGACTGCGGCAACCTGAACCAAGATCTCTCCATGTGGGTAGTTCTCTAAATGAGGGTCGGTTTTAGGATCCCCGAAATACTACGGCACCCTTCTCAAAAGGACCCTAGAAGAGACCCTAATTTAGAAAACTACCCATATAGAACCCTTCTAGTACCCTTATAGAGACCCTTGTAGATCCCTTTTAAGAACCCGCAAAGGGACACGATTCCCCCCCCACCCCCGGTGCCCAGCGTTGCTGCGAGGCAGTCTGGAAAAGCAGTCCCGCACGAAGGGCACCCGAGAAATCACGCCGGAGGCTGCAGAGCTTGGGTCCGACAATCATACTGGTACATACCTGTATGTGTGTATATACATGTGTATATATATATATACACATATATATATATGTGTGTGTGTGTATGTGAATTTATGTATGTATGTATGTATGTATGTATGTATGTGCTGGCAACCGCTACTACTTGCACGAGGGTTCTAGGCAAGGTTGTAAGCTGGGTTGTCCTACTTGTCGCCTGACTTCTAAGCTGCAGGCTGAGGCACTGAGGTCCCTTAGAAAGGGTTTCCGGTTTAGGGTACTTTTGAAGTCGAGCTCAAGGTGGCGATGAGATCGTGAAAAAATGACATTTGCTTGGCACATCATTTCGACAGGAGTCGGGGCTAGGGGCTCGGGGTATCCTGCGGAAGAAGCTTCACAGAGCATGCTTTTGTTGCAATCAGACTCGCAAGCTACATCGGGCTGCTGCAAACCATCCGAAGATTGTCTCCCAAGAATGCACCTCAGATCGACGTCAATTCCCGAACGAAGGGGGCTGTAGCTAAAGATTATATAGGCTTCATGTACTGCCACGACCTGTTGATGTCCATGCAGTTGCTCCTTGCCACTGCGACTCTCTCAATTGGCACTCACGCTCCAGAGCTCGAGCTCCGGCTATTTTTTGGACCCAATCTGCTGCTGCCATTCTTGCCAAGATCACTTCCACCGCGACCAGATATGACCAGATCAGAACCTGACAAGCGGGAGGAGGAGGAGGAGGAGCAACAGCACCAGTTGGCACGTGTTGGCACCTGCTACTATTGCCTTGGCAATTTCTGATGTGCTGCAGTCTTCCACGACTATAGATTAATTACACGCTGCTAGCCCTAGTGGCTTGACTGCTCCAAGTCAGTTGGCTTTCGCCTGTCTGCTGCTGCTTCTAAGGCTCCTGCTCTCGCTGCTAGTACTTACTGCATGTGTTGCTATTTTGTCGCCACCATCCTAAGTCTCATGCACTGGAACGTGTTTGATGCTGGCATGGATGAGTTGCAGCTGTGCGCCGAAGCCCGTCCGCATCATGATGTGCCCATCGTCCTCAACATGGACATTGGCAGAAACCTCACGAATATGTAGCCCTGCTCGAACTATCGCTCAGCTCCGTTAGCCCCGTATAGGCCACCTTATCCGTGCCGACGGAGTGGCTGAAGCTGGTGGAGTTGAAGGAGACAGCCCCGCCTCACTCGAGGTTCCTGCTGCTGGCCGTGTCCCCAGCCCTTCTGGTTTGCTGCTGCTTCACAGCTTTCAACATACCCGAAATTGGCATTGGCATTTTCAGTTGGGTCGTTGTTGCCGGTTGTTTACTGTTGGTTGGAGATTGCTGCTTTTGCGGCGAGGGGAGGGCTGCTCCAGGATGTTAGGCCTGCTAAAGTATCATGAAGCTTGAACTTCGACTGGCCCCTTCGAAGCAGAAGAGCGGGTGAGCCTCCCTCTGCAGTTGAACCGCTTGAACAGTTTTGCCATGCCCTCCACGACTAAAGTATCCGACCAAATTTCCTTGCCAGAAACAGGCCGGCTGTGCTCTGGAATAGTTTCTCGTGCGCCAGGTGGCTCCGAGACTTTTGAATCAGCTGTTCAGTCTCATGCCATCTGGCCTGCCGATATAGACAAAGCTGGCTATTAAGGTTCTCCACACCGGCATTGGCGAAAAGGATTTGCTCGGGTCCATGACGGTGAAGTATGGCAATGCCTTCTTTTGGGACACCTTTGATCATATCCTCTCTGTCGCCCAGGGGAAGCTGATCGAGAAGGCACGTTTTCCGATCAGCGCCCAACGTTTGTGTTCCACTGTTGCGGTGAGGCCCTCGAGGCACAGCCTGCACTTGTTGAGGCCACGCCAAAGCCAGATCTCTTCGTGCTCAAAGATGTCAATGTCCAGGTGATTGAGGAGAGGTGCTTGTTTGTATCGGAAACATGGCATTCCAAAAATCCCTACGCGCCCAGAGCCCATGCGGTTCTGTGGCCAGGACGCGGAGAAGAAACTTCCCGGCAAGTCTGGCCGCAAATCCTCCAAGGGATCAACTGGAGTCGGAAGCATCATCTTCGGAATTGACGGCGGCTTGATCGCATGGCTGGCGTGGTTTTGCCACAATTACATAACCCAAAGCCTCTTCAGTCGTGAATTTGATTCCGGAACAGCCTTGGCCGGGCTTCGTAATGTTCTTCTAGGCTTCAACACCTTCCGTGTCCTTCGGCCTTTTGTCTCCTGTGGTGGTTGTGCTCGTCTTGTGACCAAAGAGGGCTTGCCTCAGGGGTCCGTTGAGACATGCGGAATGGACATGGGGCATTGTCAACTCTGCATGCTTGGCGATGCTTGCTTCCTGCGGTCTGCATGCATGACTGCTTCTTGTGCTGATGGAAGTTCAACCTCATGCTGTTACTCTCTGCCACAAGCTGCCCCTGCATTGAGCAAAGCTGCACGACTCCCAGGCAGCAAATGGGGTGCCGTTGTGGCGGATGAGGGCCGGGCGCAGCTGCCTCAGCCGAGGGTCGTGTTCAGCCCATGCTGCTTGAGCCTTGTTAGTTTGGGGAATCTGCGCACCCTAAACCCTCAACGAGGGTACCACTCCCAACAGCTACAGGTGGAAGCTGGACAGCGGCCGAATCGCCAAGAAAGAGACAGAAGGCGAGAGGTGGACCTGGGCCGGCGGTGCTACGACCAAAGGAGCACAAGGTGCAGACAAATATTTCGCCAGCGTCGCAGACATGAAGAAGAAGGCCAATGTGAAGGACGTCAGCGCCGTAGTTTAACAATGGCTCGTTTTCTTCAAGACTTTTTCTTGGTAGCGCCTGGTTTTGCGGTGCCGGGAGAGTGAGATTCAAGCGGCCAAGGTGCACGTCTGGCAGGTGGGTGGGCAGGGGGATCGTCAGTCCTACTCGTATGAGACTTGTGTAATTCGCCCTCATCTTGAGAAGACTCCAAGAACCTTCCTGGCACTGCACGGTTCGGATGCAGGATACTCCGACTTACTCGCACTGGCTGGCAAGGCTCGGTACGGCTTTGCGGTTGTCGGTGATTTAGGTCTTTTAGGTTTACTTTCGACGGAATACTGAAATCAATACCCTGTAGCCGTTTCGGCGGCAGTGTGCTTTCTTATTGTTGACGGAATGATGTGGCCGCTTCTGTCTTCCCTGACGGCCCTACACCCTAAACCCTGACACTTGCTCAAAGCTGCATGCCTGCAGTGCGCTGCCTCGAACCATTTGCCTCACTCACCTGGTTTGCCTGGCCGTGAGAGTCTGCGATATCCCAGACCGCAAGCCGCAGTAGATAATGCAGGGTATATCATACATACAGTATTATACAAAGTTTGAATAAGTACATATATATATATAGAGAGAGAGAGATGTACATGTCAAAATGTGTTACCTCGTATTCTTTGGTACATGCACATAGGTCAGGTGCAAACTAAGTATGTCAGTACATGGTGCAGCGCAGCTTCTAGAGGAGCGCGATGCTGGCAAAGCCTTTGATGACTTGTTACCCTTCCTGCTCCTTGGCTGTCGAATATTAAACCCTATCCCTAAACCCTAAACCCTAGAAGCCCTAAGCCGTCAAACCTAAACATCTGCTCGGAGATGTGATCTGAAAACCCTGACCTTATTCCCAACCCTCAGTCCTAGGTCCTCGTCCTTGAAGCTATCTCAGCCGCAAGCCCTAAACCCCGAAAGCGTATGAGAGGGGAGAGGGGAGAGACAAGCAGACCCGAGGCTCTCTCGGTTCAATGCCGAGCAAGAGCAAGGCAGACAGCACATTCTCAACGAGCTGCTGGTCAACAAGAAGTTTCCGGACGACCTGTGGGAGGACCTTGCCTTCGATGTAAGTAACAGAGGTGGAAACGGACGCCCCTCTTGAACTCTTCTTCGGTGTTCTTTGAAGAATGGGGAGGACCAAGGCCCCTCTTAAAAGGCAAGACTCCTCTCATCTGGTGCGTACGGCGTCCGAAATTCCCCGAACAACCTTCCGAGCTTTCAGCCTGGGACCGAAAAACCCTAGTGGCCCTGACATAAAGGTCTGGACTGATGAGTTAGGATTGTCCCGATTATGAGGGTACACGCGTATTTTCAGGTTCATACAGGAGTCTCATAGTCCCCATATAGTTATAGTCTACTATGCCCCAAACCCCAGAGACAGAATCAAGGCCCTTGTTTACGCCCGGATATCGCAACACACCGTAGCAAAATAGTTTAGTATACATACAACACATATAGTATATCTCGTTGCATATGTATGTATATATATATATATACATATATATATATATATATACATACACGTATTACTAAACAAACAAGTAAATAACTTTATATATATATATATGATATTTTGTATATATATATATATGTGTGTGTGTGTGTAACGAGATATAGGTAGCTATAGATCTTATATCTGTATCCATCCATCTTTCTATTCATCTATCTTTTGTGTAGCGTATGTAAACTAGTTTCTTTTTTGCCTATTGCAGCATGTAGGAAGCGAGCCTAAACCCTAAACCCTAAATCCTTAATCCCCTAAATCCCTAAACCCTAAACCCCTCAACCCCTAACCCACCTGCAGGAGAGGCTTGAGCACCTCCGGAGCTTCTGGAAGGCTCGAGTCTGCTGTTCGCCTTCTCATCGTGCGGGCAAGGAGATTCGATGCCTTCGGGGCTGGTAGGGCGTTGGCGGTTCTGCCACCAAAAAGCAGGGACTTCAGGATATTTTTGGTTTCAATAGGTTTTAGGTTTAAGGCATCTTGAGAAGGATCCGGCGCGATTTGCAGAGCTTCCAACAGCATGGGAGGTCAGCAGCAAAGCGCGTGAGAGTGCGAGCTACCAATGCAGCTGGAAGCAGGGGCTGCAATTGAGTTGTTCATGTTTCGGATCTCCTATTGTAGGGCGCGCGTGTTTGCCAGAATGGATGCCAAGTCAAGGAACAAATGCGGAAGGCATCTTGTACAGAAAGCATTGAAGAATTGGGGCAAACCGGCCGCCTGTCGTGCACTTGCGGTTGGGCTGTCTTGCATATAGCCTTGCAGGTCTTGGGTTCCACTACACGTCAGGTATGTTTTGATACAGTACAGTTACGTAATTCCTCATGTAAGAGAAGTGTCAGACGACTCACCCTAATCATGCCCTACAGTCCCTACTGAGCCCTACGGCATGTGACCCAGGTCAATGAGGGCGAACTTGCACCAGAGTACCCAACCGAAGCATGCCTCTTTGGCTTGGAGGTGACGGCCGAGACTTGGTTTTGCGAGCGGTAGGGACAACTAGAATCATGAGATTGTGCCGTTTCTTTCATATGTATATATATATATATAGATGTAGATCTAAGTCGATGTTTATGTTGATGACGCAGCTTACCCCACTGGAGCCACATTATGGGTAGTGACACGACGTCGCACATGTCTTGGCCCATTCCAGTCTGATGTGCTATCTCTGCCTTCTGGTCCTTGTTTGCACCTCAAGGAGTAGCAAGCGAATTCCATGCGGAACCTCTTGCCACTTCCTCTATCATAGAAGGCTTGTAAAAAGAGGAGGCATCACAGCATCGGCAGGACCCGATACAGCAATGCAAGAACGCTGAATGCAGAAAACAATGCCACTCAGGATATCAATCTCCCGGACCTGCTCGTGAGCCTTGGAAAGCTGTGACCACGTTTCACGTCCTGGGTTGAGGACTTTGAGGGTCGGGTTTGTGCGTCGGTGCGTATGTTCATGCTGGGCATCCTGGTTATGTTGGCGTAGGGCCCTTGCAAACACCGCTTCGACACAAGACATCTTTTCCTCTTCGAGAATCCGTGTGCATAACATCCCCACAATGCTAAGAGCACGAGAAAACAAGTCTAAGCGCTTGGAAGTTCGAGCTCTTCATGGAGCAGATGACTTGAATTACATCTAGCCGAATCTAGAATGAAGCCTTTTCCCCGGTCAGCACCGACCATGGCCCGAAATGAACCGTCCAGTCCACTAAGGAGTTCTCATTCCAAGATTGAGACACTGAAGGCCAGCTCTTCTTGCCCGTGAATGCTGTATAGTATGTGCGCACATCGAGGTTGTTCTAAACTTTTGCCAAGGACAAGGGCAGCTTCAAGATATCAGTCAGTTTGAAGGGGTGTTTACCTTCATGTGAACCCAGTCATAAGCCAGGCTTTCTAAAGATCAGCCTGACATACATAGTGGCATACCCACCAAACTCGAGAAGAGCAGCAAGATCCGTGCACATGAGAAATTGAGCGCCCTGCATCAATGCAGAAGCTTGCTGTCAGTCCCTAACCCTCCAGGTGCCAGTATTGCAGGCAGCAACAACAGTAGATGCCCCACTAAGCACGAGCCCTTTCGTGGGTGATGTGTTTTGTGGGCGTCCAAAACAAGGAGCCTCATCATGCCCCATCAAATATTGTATACCACATCATTTTGCACTGTATCTTTCCATACATTATAAGATACTAGACTATCTAGACGCGTACTATCTAAACGAAAATATACTAGACTATACTGTACTATGCTATAACACATGCGCAGGATCTGGAAGCCGCAACGCGCTGGGTCTTAGAGACGGCTGTGCCTCTCCAGGGGGAATCCACCTCCCCACTGCAGGACGACAGAAACTCGTGGCTTCCGGGGTTTGAGGGTTTCGGGCTTAGGGTCTTTAGGGCTTTAGGTCTCAAGGTCTCGGGTCTTAATAGGCCTGGGTGCAGGCATCCTGACGTCCACTGTTTTTCACACCGACTTTCGAACATGGATCCTCGCCTGGCTTGTCCGAGTTGTGAGAGTGTAATAGGCCTGGGTGCAAAAAAGGCTTCTGTTTTGAGTTTCGGATTGAAGAAGGCAGCGCAAGGCATTGCACGGGACCCGTAGGCTTGAGGAGCTAATGATTGTAGAGAGCGCTTGACCGGAAGAGCCCATGTCGAGACAGCAGCCAAATAGGAGATTTGAGTAGCTAGTAATAGTATTCCGCATACAATGCCCCCTCTCCCTCTATACACACATCTCTCTCTATATATGTATATATATA